GGGGGGGGAGAGTGAGGGTGCAGGGGGAGAGTGTGTGAGGGTGCAGGGGAAGAGTGTGTGAGGGTGCAGGGGAAGAGTGTGTGAGGGTGCAGGGGAAGAGTGTGTGAGGGTGCGGGGGAAGAGTGTGTGAGGGTGCGGGGGGAGAGTGAGTGAGGGTGCGGGGGGAGAGTCTGGCAGAGCCACCATGTGAGTAGACAGTGCTCCTACAGAATGAATCGTTGATGTGCTGGACAGTGTGTGAATGGGCTGAATCTGCGAGCTTCAGAATTTGTTTTGTGTGTCCTCATGAACAGGCTTTCAGGAATGATATAAAGGAACACCAAGAGCTGACTGCGAGTGTGTTAAATTCTGGAGAACATCTGCTCCAGTCAATGAGCAGCGCCACACCAGGTACAAATCCTTCAGGAGCACCAAGCAATGCACTTTCATCTTTGAAGCCTTTATCTGCACCGCTCTTCAAAAAGAATCCCATTTTGACTCGTGAAACCCATCATTTATGGCAGAAGACTTCACCTTTTAATGTTTTCAAAGCGGGGCCATTGTTGTTCCGTCTCCAGTGAGTACTGTCAGTTTGTGCTGGGGGGCACGGTGGCTCAGTGGTTAGCACTGCTGCCTCCCAGTGCCAGGGACCCGGGTTTGATTCCAGCCTCTCGTGACTGTCTGTGTGGAGTTTGCACATTCTCCATGTGTCTGCGTGGGTTTCCTCCCACAGTCCGAAGAAGTGCAGGTTAGGGTTGATTGGCCATGGGAAATTGCCCGTAGTGTCCAGGGATGTATAGGTTAGGTGGGTTAACCATGGGAAATGCAGGGCTATGGGAGGGGGTGAGTCTGGGTGGCTCTTTGGAGAGTTGGTGTGGACTTGTTGGACTGAATGGCCTGTTTCCACACTGTTAGGATTCTAAAAGGAAAAGAAACTTGAATATGAATGGGAGCAGGCCATTCAGCCCCTTAAGTTTTCTGTTGACATTTAGTGAGATCCTGACTGATCAATAATTAACTCCCTTGGCTTTGTTTCCCTGATTGTCTTTGTCCAGCTCAATTCTAACAATCTCTAAAGTAAAGTTATTCACTGACTGCTTTCTGTGTGAGGGTGTGATGCGTCACTCAATTTCCTACCAGACGTGTTCAGTCTGTCTTAGACTGTGGAATAACACGAATGAAGCAAGATAATAAATCAGGAAGCTGTTTCAACTTCTTATTGGAACCTTTTTTAAAAAAAAAATCAATCTTCTGTGTCTTACAAGAATTAACTGGTGATGGAATCACCATTTTGCAGTTTTAAAAATCGCATAATCTTGAAAACCATTCCGAGATGCTTCACAAAGTGCTCATTAACTAATATGAACTCTGAATCAAAGCAGAGATGACCAAGCACTTGTTCCGAGACATATAAAACATGTGAATGATTTTCACATGGGATAAAATAATTTCTTAAAATTCTGCTGAACCTTGGATGCTGTTCCAGCATTATGTTCAAATTTTAAAATGATCTCTTACCAGTGATCAAAAGAGAGAATGCTGGAGAAACTCAGCAGGTCTGGCAGCATCAGACTCTAAGTGGTAATTGTATTTCACTGTGCAGAGAGAAACAGCGTTAAGATTTCGAGTCTGATCAAAGCTCACTGGCCTGAAATGTTGAGCCAGCATTTTTCTCTCCCTGTCCACAGATGCTTCCTGACCTGCTGAGCATCTCCAACATTTCTTTAGGCTTTTGATTTGGATTTCCAGTGTCTCTGATATTTTACTTTTGTATTGATTAGCCATGTTTGCTACTTTCAATGCTGCTTCTCTGACCCACTTCTGCTCTGGTTTAGTTCTCAAGGAGACACTTGAATTGATCTCAAGACAATCCAAGCAGCTGAATGGACATGCTGCCCACCTGTACCTTTCGGTTCTTGCTGCTATGAATAAGGTGAAAGATGATTTGGAGACGAAGCAACAGGAATTTGAATCTGCTGGCGTGGAAGGGCAATCAGTATTGGTAAAGAATAATTTTGCTTTGAATCTTTGTTTTGTAAATTGTTGAATGTGGTGAATGAAGACAGCTATGCTTACTTACTGTTAATATTAAGGAATGTATAAAAGCTAAATTCACCATAGTCCTACTGGACCATAGGGCTGCTCTCTCATTAGAGAGAGATGACTGGTTGGAGTTTAACCTGAGGGTCACCACACCCCAGGTGAGGGGAGAAGTTGAGAAGGAGTCTTTCATGGTAACCTCAGCAATTGAACCCATGCTGTTGGCATCACTCGTCAGTCATCCAGCCAAGTGAGCGAACCTGCTAATACCATGTGGTCTAGCAATTCTCGCCCTGAGGACAGTTGAGTCAACCCCATTGCTGTGAGGCTGGAGTCACATGCAGTCTAGCCAGCTAAGAGCAAATTTCCTTCCCTAAAGGACATTGGTGAATCAGATTGGTTTTTATTTGCAACAATCAATAATAGTTTCATGATTTCCATTAGGCTAGCTTTTAACATTACTGTATGCTTTCCCATTACCTTCTGGCCACTTTTAATTAATAACAGTAAATGTGCAGATCCTGTATGTGTGTGATAATGAAGGGACATCTGCATGCTTAACTAGGAGGAGAGATGATAACATCAGAGCGGCCAAACTAATACTTAAGTGAGGTTTCTCATTTCTCAGTAAACTCTATGGTAGAAATGTAATTTTACAAGTTTTGTATTGCTAAAATAAAGATCGCTTGTAAACTTTTACAAGTAATTCCTGCCTCTATTTCTGCAAACCATTCTGTTTGAGGCTATCATGGAGCTTTGAGCTTGTCCATCCATGTCTGTGGAGCAGTCTACGAGAAAAAGAGGAAACAGGAAAATGTGGCATTAAAATTACATTTCGCTTGCTTGTAACTTCAACTTTTAGTTTTGGTCAGAATTAGTTTGTTGTTGGAATTTAGATGTGGGCTTTACAAATAATTTACTCCATACTAACTTGTCAAATGCTTGGCTGTTTTCCTTTTAAAATGTAATTAACATTTTCATAACTTGGAGACAGCTGACAAGAACCAATCCCATTCTTGTTCAATCACTTGAAGCTTTAAAACACTGAAGGATATTTGATGTTACTAAAAGTTGAGGGCATGGATTTGAACTTATTTAGCTTTTGTGAATTGATTTGTCCAGAATTTCAAACAATGCATCTATCAAGTAAACTCTATTTTAATCTACAACAGATCATTTTCCATTTCAATAGTTACTTCTGTCATTTTGTTTAGCTGTGCTTTTCACATTTCTGAAACTGTATCAGATTTCATGCAAAGTTGTGGATTCTGTTTTCAGTTGAAATCTGGTGGAATATTTGTTCCTTCTGCTTTCGGTGATGTTTTGGCTGAAGGTACAGTCTTTTAAAGTGTAATACATGGCAATTTGCATTGGAACTAGTCCTTCCTGTACAGCTGCTGACCTGGAAGAAACAGGACGTTGGTCTCAGTTTCAGTGTTTCCCATCACGTGATTCATTGAACCACGTCAGCACAAACATTGCCTCATATTTAAATGTGTATTTATAGGCCTCAGAAGCTTGAAATGAATCAACTACACACAAACCTCCTTTGATTGATATGCACTACTGACCTATCCCATCAAGACCTCTGTGTATTCTGGAAGTCTTCATTTTAAAGCTCTGTTTACAGGATATAGTACTTCCAGATTAGAGCCAGATAGAAAACTGATGACTACATGTTGTTTTTCCAGATGCCAAGTGGCTTTGAGGAATATGATGCACCAAACCACGTGAACATGGATCATCCAGTTTAAAAGGCTGAGCAGTGGGAGGGTGATGCTCCTTTTAATTCGAGCCTGGGAAGAACTTGCTCTGCCAAATTATTGGCATAATTTTACACTTTTCTAAAAACAAAGTAATGATCAATGAGTGTGTACACCTCCTGTTATTACACTTCAAAACTCTATTTTATGGTACTTGGTTACTTTTATTGCCACAACTTGAATTAAACTTTCAATTTGGTCAAATTCAAGTCATTAAATAATACTTGGTGGCCTCAGAGGCAAGTAGAAGAAAATCCGTAACTGCATCAAGTATTTTGAATTGCAGATAGATCTCTCACATAAAGGCCTGTTAAGTTGCAACCCATACTAGGGTTTACGGGACTTGTGGACAGGCAATACCTCCTCCTATTCAGTCCCTCCTTGTGAGATGTAGAGTGTTATCAGCTCCCACTCTTGGGGGAACATTGCTACAGTATTCTTCCCACTCCTGCTGCTGTTCACTGGTGGCTGCAGGATAAATTCAGAAGCACAAAAAAATTCAGAGAACAGGGATTCTGATTGTACAGACACTGGTTTGAACCAGTCTGACTCCTCTGTAATCTCCACAGTACAAACAAAGGGATAACCCTCAACCTGACTGGAGGAGAAAAGGTGACAAAGGATTGCTACCCAGCAACCAGGGTGGTTGACCAAGTCAAGGTTCAGCAGTCAGGAGTGTTAGCACCTCTCAATGTGGGTAAAAAGTGACTGGGTAACTGCAATGTTATATGAAGTCATACAGGTGGTGTAAATACTATGAACAAATCATATTTGACTAGATAGCTTTTCTAATCTTATTAAAATTACTTAATTGTAGTGTCTAAAAGCAATTTGCAGTCACTAATGTTAATTAAAATTTGTCTTACTTTAAAGTAACCAGTGTGCATATAATTTAATTTGTTTTAGTAAATTTGTAGATTATCTTCCCCTTGTTGCAATGATTAGCAAGGCAAATGTGAAAATTGAGGCCCACCTCTCATCATCCATGGTCTTATGGAGAAGTGAAGCAGTTTGAACTGAATTCTGGTGCACAGACATGATTCAATGTTTGCAGCTTGATGTGAACCAGGGCTCCAAAGCAGAAAATTCAAGCAGTTAATCCAAAAACGATGGCAAAAACTCCATTCCACATCCAAATGCCATGAGGAATTGCATTAATGTCCAGCAAAAAGCCACAATAATTCTAAAAGGCATTATAGTAGCACAGTGGCTGACTGAAGAACATGCAAGATTGTGGTTTGATTTTGTTAGTCTTGCATGAAAGAATTCCTGTTTGAGCTGAAAACAAAGGAAGTTACACAAGCAATCAGAAAAAACTATCAAGTGGGACTTCAGTTTTCCTAGTGAAGTAGTGAGGCTGGCACTGGCTCACTCAGGGTAGGGAGGTTTCAGAACTCCTTCCTTGTGTTACTGATGTTTGACCCTCAAGGTCGGTCAAGTCAACAAACAACTTGCATTTCTGTGCTGGTCTTGCACAATGCCAAAATACTTCACAAAAGCCAACAGACGCGAAGGAGCCATTAGAATACGAGATCAAATGCTGTATTGAGGAGGAAATGGAGCTTTAAAGAGAAAATTACAGAATTGGGGATTGAGCATTAAAAGGCATAGCAGGTAATGGTGGAAAGATGTAAATCAAGGTACTGTAATTAATAGCAGTAGGCCATTAAGCCTGTTCTACCATTCAATAGGATCATTGCCTCCACTTCTATTGTCATCCCCTCAGGGATCTAAGATCCAACTCTGCCTTTAATACTCTAATTATGGCAGAGCCATTGCATGTTGAGTCTGGGTCAAAGATCAACAACCCTCAACAGAAATGCTTCATTTAAACATAATTTCTCCTCCGCCAGTTCTAGGTTTCCCCACAAAGAGAAACTTCTCAGCATCTTGTTGAAAAATACAAGATCATCTCTCATTCTGTTAAACTCTAATGAGTACAGGTCCAACCTACTCAACCTTTCCTCAGCTGACAACCTCCTCTTCCCAGGAATCAACCCAGTGAGCCACCTTTGAACTGTCTCCAATACAAGCAAAACCAGACACATTATTTCCAATGTAGTTTTATACCAGCAGTCCTTCCAATAAAGGCCAACATTCATTCCATTTCCCTTCCCAATTACTTCCTGTACTTGCACACTATCTTTGAGATTCACAAAGGACATTCTGTAGTTTATCTCCATTTAAAAATTTATTTTTCTATTCTTCCTGCCAAAATAGCCAACCTGACATTCCACAATATAATCCACCTGCCAAATGTTTACCTCACTCTCAAACTCTGTAACAGACTGTGTTCTCCTCACAACTTGCTTTGCCAGCTACCTTCACGTCATCACATTTTGCTATATCATGTCAATGTTCAGCATTGGTCCCTGTGACACTCCACTCGCTACAGTTTTCCAACCTTAAAGCAATCCTTGAGGGTGAACAGGCTCAGAGAAGCATAGGAGTGGGAGAGGTTAAAAGCAACCGTGAAGGGACATAGCAGTCACTTGTTCCTGTGGAGGGTAAACACCAAAAGACTGGGTAGGTCTCAGTGTTTCTATGAAATTGATTTATTTTGTAATCTTTATACTTTATATAGATAGTGTATTTCAATGTCTTCTATGGAATTAATAAATACATACAAAATAAAAAGAAATGTGGAAGAAAAAGTGCCATTAAGCATTTTATTTAGAATGAGTAAAAATAAATTTGAAGTAAATCACCCTTAACCATGCTTAAAATATTTTAATTAAATCCTTTCAAATTATATGGGTCCCTAGACTAGTCCTAAAAAATGAAATGGTTAGCATGCCTGATATACTGTAACTGTTTACGAAACTTTCTGGAGAAAAGAATGACTCATTAGTATCCAGATGTACAGTTTCTAAAAATCCACAAAAATAAATGAAATTCACTTGTAAAAATGTCACCTGTTTTGAGCACCTCTTCAATGAGCAATGTCCCTGTGCTCTCAAATGCAGTTTATAAATACAAGCCATTTTCCAAGGCAAATGGGAATCATAACAACCAGTGATCTACATTTTGAAAACTGTCATCCACAACCAAATCTACATTGAGATACAACAAATGAGATATATGCAGAATAAATAATTAAGACATTTAAAGCTCTGCAGCAGTTTAGCCCACTTTTATCTCGCAGGCTGTGAAGCTTTGTGGACCATTCTGTGCCACCGTGTTAGTTCTAAGTAATTCTATTAAGTACAACATTCATCAAACACTTCTTCAGTTGTTTAATGTTACATTTGTGCAACAAGTTACAATATCCTGCAGACACAAGTTATATGCAGAGAATATGAAGGTAATGCAGTGTATTTCTCTTGAATCTCCACAGAAAAGTACTGGCAAAATCAGATCTGACACATAACATTTCACTAAACTTTATTGATGTCAATGAACATGACAAAACACTTATGCTGCGTGATGTGAAATGGCTAAACTTCATCTTCAGAGCAGATCCAATGTTGACATTTAAAACATGCCATTATAAACAAAATCAATTTCTATAATAAACCGACCGCAGAAAAATCTGATAACAGGTTATGAGATTTATGCACATTATTAATGACTGGCAACACTTTTGAAGTTTAAAACCATTCTGAAAATGAAGTTAGTCTCAAGTTGGAAATCTCAGCCAATAGTGGCTTTTCAGTCCCCGATTGTGTGTCTGGAAGGGAAGGGGCAAGTCTGTAGTAGTGTAGCTACATACAGTACAATTCAGGCAACGTTTCTTACTTTTGGGCCTATTAAATCAAATTTATTAAGAGAATGTGAAAACGCTTAGCAGCAACCCCCACTGGACGGCTTCACTGGTGTGCTCTGGATGTTTACATTGGACTTTTCAGAGCCACCAGATGTAGCTCCAGGACCCATTCGCTTTTTAATCTCAGCGGCCATTGTCATGAAGGCTTGTTCTACATTTGTTGCATTCTTTGCACTGGTTTCCAAAAATGGAATCCCAAGGGAGTCTGCAAATTCCTGTTGACCAAGAAAAGAAGAAATCATTATTCAGTAAGAACGACCGTTGTTTATATACAATGCATCAACTTTCTCTTGTGCGATCTACTATGACACCACAGATAAAATACTTAACCCACCAAGTCTCTTTCTGAGACATTGTTCAAGATGAAACATGCACAATTACAAGAAAACAGGTATTTGGATTCGCAATACCAAGAGCTCCAAATATATGTAACTACAAATGATCATTTCATGTTGCAATTTGCCAAAGTTGCTAGATCCTAACTACAGAGAATGGCCCCTTATATTGGATTACAGCAACATGTGGATAAAAGCTAACATTTCTAATTGAAAGCCATTAAAGTGACCCAAGGGAGATGGTGACAGCACACCAATTAACTGCATCATTAGTTTAATTGAAAATATAATTTGACACAAAGCCACAGAAGGAAATACCAGAATAGAAAGAGACAAACTTTAAGGAACTCTTAAAACAAGAGCAAAGTAGGGAGGTGTCGAGTTCCTTAGCCAAAGCAACCGAGGGCATGGTCCCATTGACACAAACTGTTGGAATCAAGGATATGTAGGTGGCCAGAATTGGACTGCAGACAGATTTCAGGACAATTGGAAAGAAGGATGAGGATTTAGAAATTGAGACAGAGACAGGCAGTGGACTGCAGTAAACACAGGGAACGGGATCTCATTAGCAGAGTGTGGCAGGTCAAGTTTATGAGATCAAAGTCTTGATCAACTCAAATAAAGACCAATGTTTAAAAGCTACGCTGAAATGCTCAACTATTATATTGCTTTGATTTCATATAGATACCTGCACAGATCTCAAAGTAATTGTGCAGAAAAGTTCAAATTAAGCAGCTTCTTAAAAGAACCTAGCAATTAAGCATCTGTGCTCAAAGTGGAGAAGGAAGCCTACATCATGCATTACACATGGCCTATAAGGGTGGGCAGAGAGCCCACAGGTGGCAGACAACTGCAAACAGAAATGAAACTCGCTGGTAATCTGGCACCATGACCCTAGAGCTGGCATATAACAGGATGGAAAGCTAGGAATGGATCACTATGGTACATCTCAACTCCAAAAGTACTGTCTAACATACACCTCAAGTAGGTCATTTCTTAAAAATCTAAAATTAACATGGCTCCCACTTGCTCTTGCACTTAGATCCCTATTCAAAGTAGAAATGAGGAAGCAAACCAATATCTGCAATATTTTAAAAAAGTGAAACTTTTTTTAAAAGACCAAGTTTAGTTTTTAAGAAAAGTATTTAAAGGTTCTCTTGTTTCTTATTATTGTCCAGTACCAACATATTTGCAGATGTGAATCCGAATACTTCCATCACTGCCAACGTTTCAGAAAAAAGCAAAGCAATGCTGGCCTTAAGTTCAAGAACATTGGTGTTTGACTTTTTACAACATACCTTTGCTGTTGTATAGTCCACTACTTTCTTTGTTGTCAGGTCACATTTGTTCCCTACCAATAACTTGTTAACATTTTCGCTGGCATAACGATCTATCTCCTGGAGCCACTGTTTTACATTGTTGAATGACTCCTGGAAGGAGGAAACAAAAGTCATTACCCATTCCTTACCCATTTTCCTAAAGATACATTCAGATTTCAAAAACTCAGTCCCTACATTCCAAGCCTGAACAGGAAATGTTTGCAGTCTTCAGCCTATATCTTTGTAGGTTCACTTCCAATGGTGGTTCTCTGATACACAACCCAAAGTCTCATTTAAATAGAAGCTTAAAAAAAAAATCAATCAAAAATGATCAGATCAAAAGGCAAAGATTTTATCGAGTCCTCTGTTCTCACAGAAGGTGACACATCTGGTGCAAAGAATTAACCAAAACCAAACCAGATCTACTTTAAGATATGACTGTTCAACTAATCTGTTTATTTAGAAGAGGGGAATGTTTGATTAGCTTAACAGTTTTTTGAAGAATCTATTTCATTCAGCAGACCAGGCAGATTTAGTTTAGTGCATCAGCTGAAAACAGATCACCTCAGACAACTGCATCCTTTGAATGCTCATTGAGATGTTATTCTCAAAATGTGAAGTGGGATTTAAATCCACATTTTGGTCGCGCAGCAAGTACATCACATCAGGCCAAGCTGACATCACTTTGCTGTAGAGATCAACAGGAAGAGGTTTTGCCCATTGAAACCTTTTGCTCCAGAAAGATTCAGACTATCTTCAGTGACTCCACTGGTGCTCCGAGTGAGATCAGTTCATTGTACACAGACTAGAAACAAACTATGATCATTCACATTTATACACCTTGTCCATTTATCTGCTGAGGTCAACAGGGAGTTTTACAACATTTAACCACTGGTCAACATACTAGCACAAACGATTTTGGTTTTAATGATCTAACTATATCTGCCTAATATACTTTTATTTTTCCCCATTGTGTTTGTTCGTAATTTCAATCATACAAATGTAGCACTAACAGACAACTACATTCAACACTTACAATAGCACATTTCCTGTGTCAACTTCTTTCATTTAATATGCACACATTTATCATATTAACTCTTTAGATGGTAATTATATCATCAACTGCCTTTGTTGTAAAAGATTCAGTTCCTCAACTCACTCAGTAAAAGAAAGCTGGTGCCTAAAGGTACTAAAATAGACTGACTGGTACTTTATAATAGAATACAACAGAAGGTTAAATTAGGGGAGTGGTGGGGCAGAAGACAGGAGATACAATCCTCTGTATCTACCTACACAACCATTGCTTGACATCAGCAACTCATTTTCATGAACAGTTTGAGTTTAAATGATTTAACTACATCTGACCAATGTGCTTTCACTTTCTCCTTCAGTGTAGTTTTACAGTACCTGATCTGTAACATCATATACGACTATGATGCCATGTGCTCCTCTGTAATAACTGGACGTGATTGTTCGAAACCTTTCCTGACCAGCTGTGTCCCACTAGAAGCAAGAGAAACAGAAATCCCCTTTGAGTCAGAGATGAAATTATCATAGCTTATGTGAAACAATCTCAAACAATCGTTGTTCTTAAGTGGATGCCAGCTATGAGTCTCAGCTCAGTTTGTGTTTAAAAAATTCACTTGTGGGATGTGGGTGTCGCAGCCCAGGCCAGCATTTATTGCCCACCCCCAGTTGCCCTTGAGGTGGTGGTGGTGGTGAGCTGGCTTCTTGAACCATTGCAGTCCATATGTCTTTAGGGAGGGAGATAGAGGGTTTTCAGCCAGGGACACTGAAGGGACAGCAATATATTTCCAAGTCAGGACGGCGAGTGGACTTGGAGATGGTGGCATTTCCACATTTATCTGCTGCCCTTGTCCTTCTAGATGGAAATGGTTTTGGGTGGAAGGTGCTAAGGATCTTTGGTGAATATCTGCAGTGCATCTTGTAGACACTACTGCTACTGAGCGTTGATGGTGGAGGGAGTGATGTTTGTGGAGGTGGTGCCAATCAAGCGGGCTGCTTTGTCCCAAAGGGTGCCAAGTTTCTTGGGTGTTGCTGGAGTGGCACCCAGCCAGGCAAGTGGGGAGTATTCCATCACACTCCTGACTTGTGTCTTGATGGTTACTAGGCTTTGGGGAGTCAGGTGATGAGTTACTTGCTGCAGTGTTTCCAACCTACGACATATTCTTGCATGCGCTGCATTTATATGGGTGGGTCCAGTTCTGTTTCTGGTCAATGGTAACCCCCAGGATGCTGACAGTGTGGGAAATCAGTGATGGTGATGCCACTGATGTTCAAGGAAAGGTGAGCAGATTGTCCCTTATGGTCATTGTCTGCATCGGTGGCACAAATGCTCCTCACCACTTGCCAGCCCAAGCCTGTATGTTGTTCAGGTTGACATGGACTGCTTCAGTATCTTAGGAGTGCGATGGTGCTGAACATTGTGTAATCATCAGCAAATATTCCCACTTCTGACCTTATGATGGACAGAAGGTCATTGACGAAGCAGCTGAAGATTGCTGGGCCTAGGACAGTACCCTGAGGAACTCCTGGAGCTGAGATAACTGACCACATCCAGCTGAGTGGCGCTGGCACAACTCAAACTGGGTATCAATGTGCAAGTCCTGATCAATAGCATTGTTGATGACATCTTCTATCACTTTATTGATGGAGCGTAAACTGATGAAGTGGTAATTGACTGGGTTTGATTTGTGTGTATAGGACACGTTTGGGCAATTTCCCATATTGTTGGTCAGATACCAATGTTGCAGGAATTGATGGGATTTGAACATATGTCCCCAAAACATTAGCCTGGGGTCTTGGATTACTACTTTAGTCTCAATGCTACTATGCCATTGTTTCCTGTAACAACCTAAACATGATGAGTCAGTTTTCCAAATTGATTTTTCAATGAAAACAATAAATAAAACAGTGAGATAGTACATTAGGAATATGTCACCTGGATTTTAGCAATTTCATTATTTCAATTCTGCAGCATTTAGAAATACTTACAATTTGAAGTTTGATAGTCTTGCCGTCTAACTCTATAGTTCTGATTTTGAAGTCCACACCAATTGTACTGATATAACTCTCTGTGTACGTATCATCCTGGAAATTAACAGAATATTCAAGCTTTATATTGTAAAGCACAGTTGGACCAGAATGAAACAACCTCTTTGCTATCGATCAACAATTACTGAATTATTCTCAGTGTTGAGGTTCTGTGGCTTCATAATATCTTTGCAACCCAGTTCTGGGTTTGAATTTTGGAAACATGCTAAGAAATTATGGAGTACCTCTTCGTAATGGCATTCACTATCAACCAAACACCGGGCCTAAAAAGTACATTGACCAGTTTTAATAACAGCTACAGCTGTTTTAAAAAGGCTGTTTACCTCCAAATGGAATAGCCTGCCATATTTGTTTACAATTCTGATAATACTACTGTCTGCATTAATTAACTAAATACATCCCCATGAGTAGAAATGTAAACTGTTACAGCCTGGGACTGAAAGTTTCTCCCAGATATTAATAACCAGGGCAACACATGACAAAAGCAGCAATCCAAGCATCTTTTGCTTATGCTGAAAGGACAGCTGATGATCACACGCAATGAGTTTCTGACTGCCACTTACATGAATTACCTATAAAATTATTCCAGAAAACAAACAGAAGTACTTTTGCTGTTATATCGCTCCTGGTAGAGCACTAGCTCCAAAAGTTTAGTAAAATTGCAACCAGCCACACATTCTGGCCATGAGTAACTTATTGTCGACCAAAGATCAGGATAGGGAAAATAAGAAAGTTACAGATATTAACTTACAAGCTGCTGCTTCTTTAAGCAGCTGTATGCTACAGAACAACTTGTTTTAACTGCTCAAACTTCTCAAAATAGCCCTGCATTACTCACCACCCGATACAGGAGCATGTTAAAACACTGGAAGCAGTATCTTAAAAAGTATTATTAATTCCTTTCATATTACTAAAGGAAAACAGTGACAATTCACGTCAGCATTTATGCAGCAAAATGGTTTTCCTGAAACAGTACTCACAGCTGCAGCTGGAAGAATGCAAGATGTTTTACAAGAACGCTGATTCAGTTTGAAACTGACAAATGCAGTTTCAGCCTGTCCTGAACCAATCTGGCCAGAAGGATGAACACAACAACATTAGAATCACAAAATGCAAATACTGGGTGTGGCAACTTCACTTCATCTTGAATCAGAGATAGTAGGAACTGCAGATGCTGGAGAATCCGAGACAACAAGGTGCAGGGCTGGATGAACACAGCAGGCCGAGCAGCATCATAGGAGCAGAGAGGCTGACGTTTCGGGCCTAGACCCTTTTCTGATGAAGGGTCT